CAGATTATACCCATAGAAGTATGTTTTGATGTTGTGTTTCAAGTTCTAAAAGGTCACTGATAAGAGAAGGATGTTTCTGTTTTATAGAAGTAGGACTGCCACCAGTGCAAATATGAATCCAATTGCCTTTTTTTTCTTCTATAACAATCTCTCCATTTTCTTAATTTTGAAGACACCCCACCTGAGCAAATTCAACATGTCCCACCTGACTTTATCTCAGCACTCTCCATAACCACACAGATTTGAGATTCCAGCATTAAAAGCTCCTCGTACTTATGATATATTTAAAAATCTTTCCAATGAAAAACCCTTAAAGACTGTGTGATCAAGTGTTTTCAGGTTTTCAAGCAAGGTTCATCTGTGATTAATTAAAAGCCCTTTTAAATCTGAAGCTCTTACAAATACCCCTATGCATCAGTAGTATTTATTTTGTATTTTCTGCGATTGTTAGCATGGGCATGTTACTAAAATTCCAAGATAAAGAATGACTGAATTCAGAATGCTTCTATAGCCCAATAAACTGTTTCTGCTTCTCTGTGCCTTTTAAAGCTCTGCATAAAGATATAATCAGAAAAAAAACTCTTGACATTCCTGTCAGAAACGTGTAAGATCAGCACATGCCACGAACGATTCTTCCTATCTAACATTTTCATTTGAAGTTTGGTCTGCAGTGCTGTAATACTGTTCTTTGGCTTTTGTTATTTCCTAATGGGACCAAATATAACAACTACTCCTTGCTTTAACTGCAATGTTTTGGTAGCAAACGCTCTGTAAGCGTCAGCACGATGAACAGATATATGATGGAAATTCATTTTTTTGCTATTTTTTAATTATTATGATGATGAAATTGTATTATTTTGTACAGATCTACTCAGGCACATTTCCTATCAGAGTTCTTATACTTTGAAAAAGTGTGCTGCATATTCTTAGCCTTCCCATAGCATTAAAGAGGAGCTTCACTGCAGGGGGAAAAAAATCAAGCAATTAAAACCTTTTATGCTTCTAACATCCCTGAAATAGCATCCATTTTCCTTTTGAAGCACAAGCATATGTAATATCAGCAAATCATCTTTATTTTCAATTCTATTTCAGTTTGTAAAAACTCTGCCATGCTCCTCTGGGACACGGACCTGATGGATTTAAATCAAGTTGTTACCTGCAGCTCTTGGAATCTCTCCACGGTAACGGCAGATTTCAACAAGATTCCAGGGATCAGGTCCTGGCGTTTATCTCCTCCCTCCTCCCCACCCAAAGCCCTTTGATCGTATTGAAGGAAATTAGAAAGAAAGTTCTCTTACCGATAACTCCACGGTAAATGTCCCCTGCGAACCCCACCTAGCAAGTCGACATCATGACATGTCAGGTCAGCCTCAACCACGCTTCCCTGATAGTCAGGTAAAAGGAAGGAGTTAAAATACAAAATTGACACTTGACGATTTCTGGACAACAGCAGAAAATGTGATGCAATATATTCTGAATTGTCTTTCAGAGCTTCTGGTAACCTCTGACTTGTTAAAACATTTCTTCAGAGGGTTTCTTCTGCTCTACATTTTCGAGAGTTTCTGATCAATAACCAAACATTGCAGATATACTCTGATTATTTTGAGTGACACCAAAAGCTTAAGATTCCCTTAAGTAAATCTTTGTCTCTACGCCACAGCTTTTTATCAACAGAAATATAGTAAACTTCATCACTGAATTTCAAAAGATGTTTCCAGCCAATAGATCTCATCTCAAACAGTTTCAAATTCTAAGTTAACAGAAGCTCTAATTTTTGCAAAAA